CAGACAGAAAATTTCCAATACAGATAATAACACATTGGAATCATGTCTAGAATTTCCACTGTCAGATAAGGGCTGCACAGTAATCCTTTCATGATTTTTCCATGCTCTTCCAGAACATAAGAGGAAGGAAAACATAGTTCTTACTAGCTGAACAGGCATACTAGGTAAGAGAGCAAAGCTTCATAAATGTCAGCTCAAGCCCTCCTAGTGGTGATATTAAAAAACCATCTTTCATCAAAATCTTAACCTGGCTCCCGCTGATCCAGCATCCTGCAGAGATGGACCCTGACACAGACCTCATTTTCATCCCTCAGTGCTTGAGCCATTAATTCAAGTGCCTCAGAAGGACCTCTTCAGTTACAGCAGCCCCAGGCTGGCCTTACTCTCCTCAAACACATTTCAACAGCAGGAATAATTTTGATCACATTCATCCCAAAGTCTTGCAAGGATTCATGACCAATACCCGCACAGGAAGGAACGTAACAAATTTGGGCTTGATTTTTATTACATGCGTATACTGCTGATCAAAATCATGAATGCTTTAATGCTTCTTGGACAAAACCAAAGAAGAAATTCCTATGGGTTTTTAAAATGAGATCTTGAGAAATAAATTTGAACTATCCCGCGTCTGTCACTCCACCCAGTAATGTTTTCAGGCACTTTTAGACTCACTGTCTCTTTTTCAAATAAAATGTAGGCTCCTCATGGGCAGGAAGTCTGTCTTCTGCTTCCTTACATGGTGCCAGCAGTTACCTACAGAACAACATGTTTGCTGCAAAGGGAGGCTGAACTGCAAAAAGGATAAGGCTGAAAGAAAATATCGGCTACTAAATGTGAAAAAGATTATGGGAAAGAAACATCCTCAAAATTCCCAACAGCGTCCAACAGTCTTAGTTTGATCCCCACATAGATACCTGCATGGCCTCCTTCCTGGGGGCCTCAAGAGGATGAAATTTGCTTCATCCCCATCCCTTCTGCTAATTCTTACCAACATGACATGAGGAGATGAATGCTGAGACGATGATCAAGAGCTCCAAGGAATGAAAGATAACAAGGAGTCTTCCTCCCTTAGTTACACGCAACTTCAAGGAGGAAGAGATGGGCAGCCGGAGATATGGAATAAGCACAATCCCTTGTCTCCTCCACTTCAGTTGCCCACTAAGGTGGTACTAGTTCTCATGGAGTTTGGGGATAAGGCAAGAGGTGATAGGATGAAGAGACAGACCTCAACTCTATTTTTTTTTTTAGGAAGATTACCCCAGAGCTGACATCCACTGCCAATCCTCTTTTTTTTTTTCTTTTTTTGCTGAGGAAGATTGGCCCTGAGCTAACATCCATGCCCATCTTCCTCTACTTTATATGTGGGACGCCTGTCACAGCATGGCTTGATAAGCCGTGCATAGGTCCACACCTAGGATCTGAACTGGTGAACCCTGGGCCACTGCAGCAGAGCATGTGAACTTAACCACTGCGCCATCAGGCTGGCCCCTCAACTCTATTTTTTAAGAGGATCCTCTTGTGTAGCACTGGTTGGGAATCAAAGAATGAAAGTGCTGACTCTTCAGCGTCAAGATCATCAATGATGACAGCCAACATCCCACTCCCCAACCCTCCCCCTCTTAAGTCTAGGTCTTTAGTAATCATCAGGCAGCAATCCTAGTCAAGGAATTAAGGGGCATCTATCCTGACAGTGGGCTTGTCCTGGAGTTAAATCATTCAGTGTTTCGTCATCATTATTTCTTGTCTTTACTGCATTCTGAGTAGGGCTGCTTTAAGCACAGGGACTTTAAAGTCATTTGGACAACACTTGTGAAGGTGGAAGAATCCAGACTGGCAAAACAAACCTTTTCAGTCAGAAGTGTATTCCTGTGACGCAGGTCTTATTCCGCATGGGTGATCCGCTATTTTCCACAGGGTGGGCATGGGTCATACAAACGCAAGCATTTTGTTATTGTTGTGCAGCCAAAACACTAGCACTTACTTCTGCCAGGGAATGAAACCGTCTCCTCCAGTTTTAGACACAAAGAGCTCTGTGGAAGCGGTCAGAGAGCCCTTGGTTAGACAAGGAGACTCTATGTGTTTACAGCTGCCCCTTTTTACTCGCTTCACATCAGTAAGTAGGTTTCTACTGGTATCACAGAACAAAATGAATCACACGGGTATAAACCGTAGCCTGCCGCAGAAGCAGAATTCCTGTTTAGTTCAGAACATGGCCAACTCCCTCAACCCTGGGATGATTGCCCTGAGGCGCATGTAAGTATTATAAAAATATGTCCTGGGTGGGCAGCTTGGGATGATAAAGCCACGGCATACCACTGAGGTTCCCTGAAGATGCCCTTCTTCTTTCCAGTTCTGAGCTCTGGCACACGGCTCTTCTCTATGCCAAAACGCCCGCTCTCTTTAGGCCACCTGGTGGATTCCCATTCACCCTTCAAAATCCAGCTCACACGTGATTTCTTTGGGGAATCTTTCAATAATATCTTCATCCTCCCACTCCTGCTTCCCAAAGCTAATCATTCCTTTCACGGAGCTCCTTCTCTGTTACCCGGCACATTTTTCTAATTCCATCTCACACACTGTGTAGCAATTATGTGTTGACACATCTGGCTTCCAGAACAGATGGTGAGACCTTGGGGCCTAAGTTAATACATTGTTTTTTTTATTACATTCCTAGTACCCAGCATGCTGCCTGACTTTTAGTAGCTATTGATAGATCTTTGATAAATTAACAGGAAAAAAGAGTTTTTTGATTCACAACAGCATTTGTTTTTTCCTCTCTTATAAATTTCTTCTGTTATTCCTTTAACCATTTCATTAAAAAGCTTCTCTCTTTTGTTATCTCTTCTTGAGTCACTTACGCAAACTGTCCTTTTCCATCTAATTCATATTAAATTAAAAGGAGAGAAAGGTGTATGCATATATAATTACAATATACTTTCTTCTCTGAAGGCACGCCAGTTTTTTTAATCGAGTCTGCACCCTCTGGCCTACCAGTAAATAACACAGTTAAGTCAGGTGAGACTAGGATAGGAAGTGGAGGTGGGACGTTCTAAGAACTGTGTTGCATATTGCACAATTCTTTCCTGTAGTTCACATTTAGTGCTTTGTTATTCTTAAACGACACAATGCTGAGATACAGGCCCCACCTTAAGACTCTTCCAGAGTTCTAATTATTACAAACAATAATTTCTTGTTTTAAGACCGAATTTCCAATTTCTATATATTTATAAATAAATCTCCTTTCATGAATTACACCATTGCATCAGACCTGAGAAAAGCACCTTTAAAGTGTGTATATATTTGAATTTTATCATTTTAATATGAATATAAATTATATCTCCTTTCAATTAGGATAGATTTTTTTTTCATTGCCACAATGGAATTTGATGAATGAGCTTGCATTTGGTACATTTTGTTTAAATGTATAATTGTGAGTCTTTCATCTTAGATATCATGATAAGAAATTAATTATATTGATTATGCTGTATTTGCATCCTCAGGGTTAGGGAAACTGATAATTGCAACCTATAAAGCTAATGAAATTGTATATAATCACAGACTATTTAGTATATTTAATGATTTAGGAGCCTAGGCTGCCCCAGAAGACCTCAACTTCAATGATCTTGTCCCAAACCTTTACTTTAATCATACTGCCATCCACAAAACGGTTAAACAAGTTGCTAAGAGGGGTTTACCAGATATAGTCTGGATTATATGAGCTAACCTGGGAGTGAGCTTTGAATAGAAATCCATGTTTTCACTGCTGGTGAGAATGTAAACTGGTGCAGCCACTATGGAAAACAGTGTGGAAATTCCTCAAAAAACTAAAAATTGAAATACCTTATGACCCAGCTACTGGGTGTCTACCCAAACAACTTGAAATCAACAATCCAAGGTAACATATGTACCCCTATGTTCATTGCAGCACTATTCACATAACATGGAAACAATCCATGTGCCCATCGACTGATGATTGGATAAAGAAGATGTGAGAGAGAGAGAGAGAGATATATATATATATATATATATATATATATATATATACACACACACACAATGGAATACTACTCAGACATAAAAAAAGACAAAATCATCCCACTTGCAACAACATGGATGGACCTGGAGGGTATTATGCTAAGCAAAATAAGCCAGACTGAGAAAGACAAACACCATATGATTTCACTCATATGCGGAATATAAACAACATATGGACAAAGAAAACAGTTCAGTGGTTACCTGGGGAAGGGGGATGGGGGGTTGGCACAGGCAGTGAATGGGAGCACTGGTATGGTAACAGACAAAAATAATGTACAACTGAAATTTCACAATGATATAAACTATTATGGATCTCAATTAAAAAAAAAGAAAGAAAGAAATCCATGTTTTCATTGCTCTTAAGAAACATGGACGAGTCTCCTAGAAATTTTTTCAAAGTTATATGTTGAAGGGGAAACAGTCCAGTAAAGAACTGGAGAAAGAGAAGAACTCAGGTCAGGGTATTTGAGCAAACATTTTAAAGGTTCAGGGTAAAACAATAGCCTGACTATAAAGCTTTAGGTATAAATCACTAGATGTGATAAAAGTAACAGAAGAAATAAAATAATTATGACAACCTTTTTTCAATAAGTATAGTTAACCTACCAAAACGAAAACATCAAAATCTTTAAAAGAGAAATCCTCTTATATTTAAAACCACCTTTGGATGTGTATGCCTCGCAACTGTACGTAAGAATTCATTCCAGAGTGCCTCTTTCTTTGTTTAATCACAAGGGTGTGGGTCAAATCCAGCTTTGTTTAGCTCAACAAACACAGAACCACACTCAGAGTAATTGAAGAACCAGCCCCATGATGTCACCTCTTCCTTAACAACCAGTTCAAAACCATATAAAACAGTAAGTCCGCCCTTCCTTGGTAGCATCAGATGCTAAAGGCCACTGAACTTTACACACCCACAGCTCAGTCAGGTAGAGAAGTACTTCTAACTCCAGCTGTTAACATACCTTGAAGAACTTCCATGGGGAGGACAGTCCAGGCATTTTCCAGGTAGGAGATATAAATATAGCGAGCCGTATTGCAGGCCAGGCCAATGTACAGAACCCTAAAAAAAGCAACAACGAAAAATAAGTTGAAGCCCCAGGATGAGATACAAAACATGCAAATACTACCTAGTTTTTCCCATGCCCAAACCATGCATCATCCAGCACAGTGTCCCAAATGTAGGAGAGGGGAAGCTAAAGGACAATTAAATTTAACCATGAACTCTTAGGAATAAGAAGATTGCTTCGAACATATCTGCCCTCAGCCTTTTCAAAATGCTTGTTAATATAAAAGCGAACATCATCCTTCCTGAAACTTAATTAGTAGCAGAGACGATGCTTTTTTAAGATAGTCTGGGCACACTGCCATCTGTAATGACATTGCTGGCTTCCTTCCAGGTGGCTGTAGGGTAAATATGCCTGGGATTGTAGCCACTTCCCTATGCTGGAGGAAGGACAGGATAAAAATGAGAACATGTGAATATGAATGTGGCCTCACTTGCAATACCCAAGACACCAAGCATTTTACAAGGAGCCTCTCAAGGTCGTCGAATACTATCATCCAATGATGAATGATAAACTATTCAGAAATCAAATGCATTTTTCCTATCAGTTCAATTAATACATGTTCGTTTTTTTTAAATCCTTGATATCACATGCTTATAAAACTGATAAATATATATCCACGTCTCACAATCACTATCATCAAAATTATAAGTAAAAAACAGACTAAACAAAGGCCTAAAGTGGTACATCCAAGCATAAGGTTACCATCTCTCTCTTTCTGAACTGGACGGGCTGGTTTGGAAATGAATTGTGGCTGCTCCTCTGTACAAAACACAACCTGATGGCAGGGGTTTTTCTTTCTCGGTTGTTTTCCATTTTCTGTTAATTTTCCTAACCTTAATGCTTTTCTTGTTTTCTAAATTCAAGTGGATGAAAACTAGAAAGTAAAAGAAATAAACCAATATAGGAAACCAGTGGTATCTTCCTAATCTTGTTCAACTATATTTTTATATTAAAATCATTCCTATAAACGCTGTTCCCTTTTTCCAATATTGGATCAAGAAAAGGAAACGCTTTGAGGCATCCGGCTGGCATTAACCACAATATGGAATCGAAGGATGGGGGAAAGGGGTGATGGGGTGGGGATGGAATAGGAAATGGATAGTAGAAGGGATTCAGGAGATCCCCACCATTGAAGAGGTCCGGGTTATCATATTCTGTGGACAGCATGTTCTTTGTACTTGTATGTTTTCAGGAAAAAAGCGGATGTTTCAATCCTGTTTGATAAAAAATCTGTTGAACAAACTCGCTACAGATGGATCAACCAGGGTCCCTCTGCTAGGGGGAAAAAAAGCCCACAGGAAATTTAAAATTCAAAATACACTACACAAACACACAAGTTACACAAACCTGTCTCCTTTTAAAGTTCTAAACCAGCTCTCTTGATGACCTTGACTTAACCTAACTCAGGGGTCAGCAAACATTTCCTATAAAGGGTTTCACGGTAAATAGTTTAGGCTTTGTATGTCTCTTGCAACTACTTAACTCTGCTGTTGTAACATGAAAGCAACTATGGACAAAATGTAAATGAATGAGCATGGATGGCTATGTTCCAATAAAATCTGAATTATGAACACAAATTTAAATTTTATATAATTTTCATGTATCACAAAATATTATTCTTCTTGTGATTTTTTCAACCACTTAAAAGAAACCACTCAGTTCATAGGCCATACAAACACAGGCAGCAGGCCAGATCTTCCCCGTGGGCCACAGCTTGCCAACCCCTGGCCTAGCTCATTAGTTCTTTTTCTTTTTTTCTCCCCAAAGCCCCAGTACATCATTGCATATTCTAGTTGTAGGTCATTCTAGTTCTTCTAGGTGAGCTGCCGCCACAGCATGGCTGACAGACAAGTGGTGTGGTTCTGTGCCCAGGAAGCAAACCCGGGCAGCCAAAGTGAAGCACGCTCAACTTTAACCACTAGGCCATTAGAGCTGGCTCGCTTATTAGTTCTAATTCACTTTGGCTGTACATGAGATTTACTGGGGTGATTGTTAAAAACTACAGATGTCGAGCCCACAGCCCTCTTAATAAAGATCTGTAGGGTTGAAACCCAGGTACTATGCTTTTGAAGACTTCCCAAGTTATTCAGATACTAAGCCAGGGTGAAGACCCACCGGTCTAGCTCATTCTAAACAGCTTGCAGTAATACTTTCCCATAATCCCAACATAAAAAAAAAAAATTCATAATACACCTCCCTTGTGTTCATATTGTCTATCCTGAACCTTTCTTTTCAGCCCACTTCTGAATCAGGGTTACCATGACAACCGTTATTCAATCCAGGCCATAGTCCAAAAGTCTGGCCTAAAGTAACCCAGAGTCAATTGGCCCAGTTTAACAGGTAGATTGGGCTATGCCTTCAAACATCTACCAATGTGGAGTTCAGTCAGTGGAGTTCAAACTTTCCGGGACCCTTAAGTCTTGGATTGCCACCAATAAGTCCAGTGGCTATGAGCTTGACATAGCCTTCACTTCTTTCCCACAATCCTCATCTCACCACTGATAGTCCTTCAAGACCACACAGATGCCTTAAAGGAGAAAAACTAAAATAAAAAGTATAAGGGCAAGTTACCTCATCTCTCTGAGCCTCCATTTTCTTATATATCAAGTAGGGATAATAGTATCTACTCTGTAGGCTTGTTGTGATCATTAAAATACTGTAAAGTTGCCCAGAATAAGCACTCGATAACTAGTAGCCTTGTTATTATTTTAAAAAAAGTATCCCAGTACCCTTTTGTTTATCCCAGAATCCCCAAAGAGAGAGAAGTACAAACACTCCTTCCTCAGCAACCATTCTGGGGAAGCCAGTGGCTTCAAGAAGTCAGCGAGGCTTAAATCAGGAGCAGAAAGGAAGGCGGCATTTCGATCTATGAAAAGGGAAACTAAACACGTATTTATTGAATAATCACTGAAAAGTAGTTCAGCACCCTGAAAGCCTGACAATTTCTTTAACATCTGAATGGGACATTTAAAGCGCCCTTCATTCACTGTTATGGGCTGAATTACGTCCTCCCTAAAACTCATATGTTGGAGTCCTAAATTCTAACCCGCTAGTACCTCTGTGTGACTGTATTTGGAGAGACGCCTTTAAAGAGGTGATTAAGGTGAAATGAGGTCATATGGGTGGGTCCTAATCCAATATGGCTGGTGTTCTGATACGAAGAGGAGATTAGGACAGACCAGCACAGAGGGCAGACCAGGTGAAGACACTGGCAGACGACAAGCCCAGGAGAGAGGTCCTCAGAAGAAATAAACCCTGCCAACACCCTGATCTCGGACTTTTAGCTTCCAGACTTGTGAGGAAAGAAATTTCTGGTTCTTTAAGCCATCCAGTCTGTGGTGCTTTGTTATGGCAGCCCCAGCAAATGAATACATGCACAGTCAGGAAACTAAGGATCTGCTAACAGAAAGGAATGTATGCTATGTTTTATTACATCATCTTCTGGACAATAGAATTCTTTAGATGCTGAATATAGAGCACACATTTGGGATCCTACAATGTCCCTGGGCACCATGAGGTCTGAAAATACAGAAGAATAGTCTGGAAAATGCCTCTCAGCGAGATACAGATACAGATATCGAATACCTACAATGAAAAAGCTCAGAAACGACTCGATGCTTTCCTATTTCACAACGGGAAGTCAGTAAGTACGAAAGTAGGCAAGAAATAAAGGCAATTTTAGAGCAAGCAGTGTTAAGTGAACTTAATCTATACAGAGGAACACAACTGGTAAAGAGCAAATGATTTCACAGAAAACAATGCACCATGGAAACCCCAATCACTCATCAAACACCTTGATTCTGTATTTGAGCAAAATATAAAAGCAGGAGAAAAAGTGCTTATGAGATTTCAGCTTCTTATTCAACCACAATTCACAGTATTGGCAGGGTAAGTTGGTTGGTGATTATCTTATAATGAAACTGGTACTTTTTTTTTTCAGACAGACAGTATTCAAGATATAGATACAATTAATTGGGAGTCATTTGCAATTCCTACCAGAGTGTAGGTTAGTCATGATGCCCTACCATCTATAACATGGTTAAATGCCCCCTGGAACATGAACCCACAAGGAACATGAATTTCACTCAATAAACATCTATTGAGACCCCACTAGGTACCCTACACTATGCTGGACTCAAGGGGAATAAGAGTGAAGAGAAATCCTCTTTGCCTTCAAGGAACTTCCAGTGTAGTGGGGAGACATATAAACAAGTAAGTTAAATAAAATACTCTAAGAGGTATGCATAAAGAGCTATGGGAGCACAAAGGAGAGGCCTTTAGCTACCCTTGGGGGCCCTGGGACACCTGGGTTAGAAAGAACTGGACAAAGAAGGCCAGAAGAACATCGCAGGCAGAGGGGACAATGGGAACAAAGGCTAACCATAACAGCTCAAGCGTTTGCAGACAGAGAGACTGCCTGAAAGATCTAAGGATCAAAGGCTACAGATTTATAAAAAGATGAGTGAACTTTTCCAGTCCAGATCCAATCCGGAAATTATTCTTTATTCCAAAGACAATACAGCATATGAGCAGCAAAAAGAGCCCTGAGCAGGATTATCCTGCAGCACTCAGATCTGAGAGACAAAGGCCCAGCAGCACGCAGAGAACCCAGCCTCAGCACAAGGAACGGGCAGCAAGCATTTTGCAGAGCCTCTACTGAAGAAATATGAAAGTTCCTCAAAAAGGAAGAAACACTGGATAAAAACAAAATACCCTGGACAAAGACTGTTGTTCAGAAGTGGAGTATCAGCAGAGAGAGACTGAAAATGCTCTGTAATCTGTGTTACAGCCCTCATATAAGGATGCACATGTTCCCATGTGTACAGGGGCTGCCCAAGGGCACAGTGGGAGATGAGAGACCAGCAATAAACCAAGATTCAGAAAGCATCATTTCCAACAGGTTACAGAACACTTGGACAATTTCCTCAGCTACACCTGGCTAGAGTTTCTACCAGTTCCTAAGGAGAGAGAATTGGTCGCTAATACCAGATAC